TAATTTTTGCTTTACCAAATGTTCAGTCACATACACTCAAGAAATGCTCGATTTTGGTTTTTTTTATCACTTTAAACTTAAAGAATGCAGTTTGATGTTCATTTTGTTTATTGTTTTTTTTTCTTCAGTTGATATGATGACTGGCAGACCCTGCATAGATTTTTTAGATGATTTTTCCCAATGGAAGGAGTCTTATAGTCTTATACATATCCTTACAGCAGTACAGGTTTGAATTTACATTTTGTTAATCAAAATTTCTATTATGAAGCCAGATTCTTGCACACAGCACTTCATTTGTCTTTAATTGATTTCAATAACAAAATGTTGAATTAGCTATAAATTACATCAAAATACATTTTCCTTTAATGTCACTGAAACCTTAAAATATCTTTACAACCCTATATTTTGAAAAAAAATTACAGCTACCCATCAATGAGACCTGTAGCAATTTCTTTATCATGATAATTGGCTTTCATCCATGGAATTTCCCTGCAAAATCTGTGTTAAAGATCAAATGTAGCAGAATGGTCAAATGGTTAGCATGGCCGTCTTAAGTAATCTAAGGATCATAGAGTTATGTGGGTTGAAATCCTTACTAGAAACCAGATTATTTTTGGCTGCATGAGTTCAAATCCAGTCAGTTTCAAGCCATAATGTTTCCTTGAACAAAAAAACTTTACACTCATTGGTTGAGTACTGATTAGTTCCAGGAACATATTCCAAAATGTGGCCATAACCTTGAATATAGCTCCCTACATAATGGAACTAAAATATATTCTGTATATAAAACTGAAGATGATCAGTACATGGAAGTTTCATTTTGTTTTTAGGAGTTGCTTGCCAACCCTGATTTAAACAAACCAGTTAATCCCGAGGCAGCAGAGATGATCATGAGATCTCCACATGCGTACAGACAGATGGTGCTAGATTGTGTTGTTGCCAGTCAGAGAGTGGAGGGATCATACAGGGGCATGGACCCTGCCAAATACAGTATGTAAATTGTTTTAAGCGAATATATTAGGGCAAACTTTTACAAGTAAAAGGGACTCTACCTTAGTTTTCTGGAATGAAAAGACTGATAATATTTTTCCCGATATTTAGGTACTATGTGATGTAGATGAGTCCAATATTTTGTGTGGAAAATTTTAACCCATTCACTCACTCTGTTTTTCAAGAATAATCATTTTGTTGTACAAAGTCACTCTAAATTGAAAAGAACTAAAAACGAATTAAACAAATTTAACTAAATTCTGAGGAATGTCAGAAAAAAAAAAAATACGATTTAAGTTTTTATTCTAGAAAATTACCTTTTTTCTGGTTTTATTATTATGCCCCCATTTTGAAAAAAAGGGGGTATATTGCTTTGCACTTGTCGGTCGTCGGTCCGTAGACCCAAATGGTTTCCGAGTGAATAACTAAAGAACCCCTTAGGCCTAGGAATTCAAACTTGTATGGTGATGGTCTTTCATGACCAGTAGATGACCCCTATTGATTTTGGGGTCAGGGGGTCAAAGGTCAAGGTCACATTGACCTTTTGAAAAGCAAAAACGGTTTCCGATCAATAACTAAAGAACCTTAAGGCCTAGGAACTTCAAACTTGGTATGGTGATTGGTCATGACCAGTAGATGACCCCTATTGATTTTTGGGGTCAAGGGGTCAAAGGTCAAGGTCAACATTGAACCTTGAAAGCAAAAACGGTTTCCGATCAATAACTAAAACCTTAAGGCGTAGGAACTTCCAAACTTGGGTATGGTGATATGGTCATGACCAGTAGATGACCCCTATTGATTTTGGAGTCAAGGGGTCAAAGGTCAAGGTCACATTGACCTTTTTTTGAAAGCAAAAACAGTTTCTGATCAATAACTAAAGAACCTTAAGGCCTAGGAACTTCAAAACTTGGTATGGTGATTAGTCATGACAGTTGATGACCCTATTGATTTTGGGGTCGGGGTAAAGGTCAAGGTCACATTGACCTTAAAAGCAAAAAACGGTTTCCCGATCAATAAACTAAAGAACCTTAAAAGCCTAGGAACCTTCAAACTTGGTATGGTGATTGGTTCATGATCAAGTAGATGAACCCCTATTGAATTTTGGGGTCAAGGGGTTCAAAGGTCCAAGGTCCACATTGACTTGGTAAGCAACAAAACGGTTTCTGAATCAAATAACTAAAGAACCTTAAGGCCCCTAGGACATCAAACTTTGGTATGGGTGATTTGGTCATGATCAGTAGATGACCCCTATTAATTTTGGGGTCAAGGGGTCAAAGGTCAAGGTCACATTGACCTTGTAGGTAAAAACGGTTTTCGCGATCAATAACTAAAGAAACCTTAAGGCCTAGGAACTTCAAACTTGGTATGGTGATTGGTCATGAATCAGTAGATGACCCGTATAGATTTTGGGGATCAAAGGGGTCAAAGGTTCAAGGCAACATTGACCTTTTTAATTAAAAATGGTTTTCTGATCAATAAAAAAGAACCTTAGGCCTAGGAACTTCAAAACTAGGTATGGTGATTGGTCATGATCATAGATGACCCTCATTGATTTTGGGGTGCAAGGGGGTCAAAGGGTCCAAGGTCACATTGACCTTGTAGGTAAAAACGGTTTCCGATCAATAACTAAAGAACCTTAAGGCCTAGGAACTTCAAACTTGGTATGGTGATTGGTCATGATCAGTAGATACCCGTATAGATTTTGGGGTCAGGGGGTCAAAGGTCAAGGTCACATTGACCCTTTTAATTAAAAACGGTTTCTGATCAATAACAAAAGAACACCTTAGGCCTAGGAACTTCAACTTGGGTATGGTGATTGGTTATGACCAATCAGATGACCCCTATTGATTTTGGCGTTAAGGGGTCAAAGGTCAAGGTCACATTGACTGTAGGTAAAAACGGTTTTCGATCAACTAATGAAAGAACCCTTAGGCCTAAGGACTTCAAACTTGAGATGGTGATTGGGGTCATGATCAGTAGATGCCCTACTTGATTTTGGGGTTAGGGGTCAAAGGTCAAGGTCACATTGACCTCTTAGGTAAAAACGGTTTCCGATCAAAATAACTAAAGAACCCTTAGGCCCTATGGAACTTCAATTTGGTATGGTGATTGGTCATGACCAGGCAGATGACCCCTATTGAATTTTTGGGTTTAAGGGGTTAAAGGGCAAGGTCAACATTGACCTTGTACGTAAAAAATGCTTTTCCCTTCCCGATCAAATAACTTAAGAAACCCTTATGCGCCTAGGAACTTCAACTTGGTAATGGTGGATTGGTCATGACCAGCAGAGCATTTGACCTATTGATTTGGGGTCAAAGGGGTCCAAAGGTCAAGGTCACATTTGACCTTGTAGGTAAAAACGGTTTCCGATCAATTAACTAAAAACGCTTAAAGCCTAGGAATTCAAACTTTGTGTGATGATTGGTCATGACCAGCAGATGACGCCCTATTGAGTTTTAGGTGAAGGGGTCAAAGGTCAAGGTCAATTGACCTTTTAAGTAAAAACGGTTTTCCTGATCAATAATTCAAGAACGCTTAGGCCTAGGAACTTCAAAAATTGGTATGGTGATTTGTCATGACCGCAGATTTCCCTATTGATTTTGGGGATCAAGGGGTCAAAGGTCAAGGTCACAATGACCCTTGTAAGTAAAAACGGTTTCTGATCAATAACTAAAGAACGCTTCGGCCTAGAAACTTCAAACTTGCCCATGGTGAATTGGTCATGACCAGCAGATGACCCCTATTGATTTTGGGGTTCAAAGGTCAAGGTCACATTGACCTTGTACTGTAAAACACTTATTTTTCGCGAGAACCTTATTTCGCGAATTTTAGGCAAAATGTCCAAAATAATTATTTCGCGTCAACATGAATTCGCGTCTTCCCGAAAAATGTGAAACCGGAAACCCGATGTCATTCAGATATTTTCTGTCCTTTCCGTTCACTAACTTTGCGTCCTTTATTGTGCGACGATGCAATTTATATCTGTATTCGATTTTTCTGATAGCTTGCTAATCTTCTTGTTAAGTGAAAACCGTTGCTTGTCTAAAATATGTCAATAAGTTTGATAATTTTTGATATGTGTTCACTGTGTTAAAGTTTCACTGATTAGCCATTCAAAAGCAAACAGACGAAAATCAATTAAACGTACTGTAATTTGCCTAACCTGTAGTAAAAACAATTAAATGTTTACCCTCCGGCTTAAACTGTAGTACGCAATACAATAGAATACAATAAATAGAAATGTTACAAAAACAATCGCAGGTGCTAAAGTATTTGTACCAATTAGAACAATCTGTAGAAATACCATTAAAATTTTTTGAGACGCATTAATTGTTTATACTTAATTCTAGTGCAAGTCACGGTTACCTTCCTTGACACAGGTAATATGCAGCGAAGAAATTTTTTTTTTACCAATTCCTCAATATACCAAATTGTTACAGGTATATATTTCATACTAGTAATCTGTACGGTATGTATATGCTGCAACACTTGAATAGCGACATGATGTAACTAGAACTGGTTCCGATACTTTCCGCAGATGTATAATCCATGTGTATGTATTTTCGGATAGTGTTCATTTTCGGACAAGTGTATAGACAAAGTTGAAATTTTTCGCGGAGAGATATGAATTCGCGTCTTTAGAAAACTCGCGAATATTAGCGAAAATAAATTTCTCATAGCGAATAATAAGTGTTTTACAGTATTGGTTAAAAACGGTTTTTCCGATCAATAATAAAGAGAACCCTTAGGCACTAAGAACTTCAAACTTGCATGGTGATTGTCATGACCAGCAGATGACCCCTATTGATTTTGGGGTCAAGGGTCAAAGTCAAGGTCACATTGACCTTGTAGGTAAAAAAGGTTTTTTGAAATCAATTTACTAAAACGCTAGGCCTAGGAAACTTCAAATTTGTTTGATGATTGGTTCGTGACACAGATGACCCCTATTGAGTTGGTCAGGGGTCAAAGGTCAAGGTCAATGACCAGTAGATACTTTATAACCTTATTAATTGGTTTGATCACTGAGTCAGAAGTCATGCATAATAACCTTATCACATGACTAATTGGCTGCTGATAGGGGGCATACATGTTTTACAAACATATCTTGTTGATTTAAGAGCCTAAATTAATCTATGTAAGAAAGTTAAAATATTTAAGTAAAAGACTACAGCCACTTTGTACCATATAGCTCACACTGTTTGAATACATACACATCCTTATTACATATTGGTTAATGTATATTTTTATCTGTTATTCCTGGTAATATTATGTTCTTACTTTCCTTATCACATGTACTTTGAAATGTAGTTGTTATAATATCTTGGAATTTAAGTAATTTTGTTTGTTCCTTATCATGATATCAAAATATTTACCAGGAAAAGTTATTGCTGACATCTTTGGTTCAAAATATATATCTGAAAATTAGTACAAATGTCTTAGCATCACAAATGTCAATAATATAATGCTTGTTAATGAGATTACCTTACAATTTTTTTATTTTATCAGTTCAACAGAATCCTTCCTTTATTCTGGATCCGCCTTTGAATTAAATATATTGTCCGATTGAATATTTTTTCTACAGTTGTACAATACAATGCCCCTCTGATGTTGATAATCATCTACTGTGGATACTGAAAATTTTTAACAGCCCAAAGAGAATAAGAGAGTAAATGTTTAAGCTTTGTTAAGATTCTATTTTATGTTTCTTTGAATTCATCTTATCAGAATATACATGTACCAATTTTAGGTCATGTACAATAAGTATTTTTTTCTCTCTTAGTTGGACAAGTCAATAATTCTGGACTGGAGTCAAGAGTCAGATTCAAAATTCCAGAAGATGAAATGAAGAAGCCAACATCCAGTGTACACACTCGGCCAAAGGTGGCTAAACTTTCTTTTGAAGATTATCATATAACTTGGAGTGGTATAGCCACGTCAAAGGCGAGGCCAGATCTAAAAAATCCTTGTAAGTTTTTATGACATTTTTGGGTTTGTTTTTTTTCTGTAGTATGTTACATCTAGAAATTAATCTTGAAACACATTGTGAAGTACATAATTATGAAAATGGTTTTATTATTAAAGGATATGGTTTGACAAGTGATGTCTTTAAAAATTAATTATATATAATTGTTAGAAGATATTTAAAAACCATATCATTGTATAATTACCAACTTTAATTGACAATTAATGTCTGTGGTATAATTTAGTCTGTGGTATAATTTATGCTGTAAAAATAAGTACAATCAACCTGCTGGGGCTAAAAATGAATTGTCTTTGCCACCATTTTTGAGCAAGGTCAGTCTGCACATCCGCCACTCAATTTATAAACTTAAAACAAATTTTATATTAAAGCCCCTTAAATATTTAATGGACTGTTCTCATTCTAAGCTGGGCAGATCCATTACACAAATTCAGCAGATAAAGATTTTGTCTATTTTCTTGTTTTAGTATTGGAGGTAATTAAAGATAACCCAGCTTTACAAAAAGCACATCTTGGGTTACCACAGGAAGAAATAGAGGAGCAGATGAAACGTCAGCTAGAGGAGTAAGTTTAAACCAATACTAAATATATTATTTAAGCCAATACTAAATACAAGATATAAGCCAATACCAAATATATAAACCAATACTAAATACAAGATATAAGCCAATACCAAATATATTATTTAAGCCAATACTAAATATATTATTTAATCCAGTACTTAATATATTATATAATCCAGTACTAAATATATTATATAAGCCAATACTAAATATATTATATAAGCCAATACTAAATATATTATATAAGCCAATACTAAATATATTATATAAGCCAATACTAAATATATTATATAAGCCAATACTAAATATATTACTTAATCCAGTACTTAATATATTATATAAGCCAATTCTTAATATAATAATATAAGCCCAATACTAAATATATTATTTAATCCAGTACTTAATATATTTATAAGCCAATTCTTAATATTTATATAAGCCAATACTAAAATATATTATATAAGCAATACTAAATATATTATATAAGCCAATACTAATATATTATATAAGCCAATACTAAATATATTATATAAGCCAATACTAAATATATTATATAAGCCAATACTAAATATATTATATAAGCAATACTAAATATATTACTTAATCCAGTACTTAATATATTATATAAGCCAATTCTTATATATATTATATAAGCCAATACTAAATATATTATTTATCCAGTACTTATATATTATATAAGCCAATTCTTAATATATTATATAAGCCAATACTAAATATATTATATAAGCCAATACTAAATATATTATATAAGCCAATACTAAATATATTATATAAGCCAATACTAAATATATTATTTAATCCAGTACTTAATATATTATATAAGCCAATTCTTAATATATTATATAAGCCAATACTTAATATATTATATAAGCCAATACTTAATATATTATATAAGCCAATACTAAATATATTATATAATCCAGTACTTAATATATTATATAAGCCAATACTAAATATATTATATAAGCCAATACTAAATATATTATTTAATCCAGTACTTAATATATTATATAAGCCAATTCTTAATATATTATATAAGCCAATACTTAATATATTATATAAGCCAATACTTAATATATTATATAAGCCAATACTAAATATATAATTTAATCCAATACTAAAAATGTATTATATAAGCCAATACTTAATATATTATAAAAGCCAATACTAAATATATTATTTAATCCAATACTAAATGTATTATTTAATCCAATACTAAATGTATTATTTAATCCAATACTAAATATATTATTTAATCCAATACTAAATATATTATATAAGCCAATACTAAATGTATTATTAAATCCAATACTAAATATATTTTTAAATCCAATACTAAATGTATTATTTAAGCCAATACTAAATATATTATTTAATCCAATACTAAATATATTATTTAATCCAATACTAAATGTTTTATTTAAGCCAATACTAAATATTTTATATAAGCCAATACCAAATATATTATTTAAGCCAATACTAAATGTATTATTTAATCCAATACTAAATATATTATTTAATCCAATACTAAATATATTATTTAAGCCAATACTAAATAATTTTTTTAAGACTAAACAAATTAAGCTGATCATAACAAACTGATTTAAAGTCTAAATTTTTAAAACATTGTTGAATCCAACACTAAGACAATTTTGAGCAAATAAATTGTTTAAGCCAATTCAAAACAAATTGTCCAATACTGATTAAGTAGGCAATACTGAAACAAATTGATTAAATTGATTTGGTCGAATAACTTATTCTTTTTCTGATAAATTGCGCTATATTTTCCCCTTCAGAAAGTCACAGGTTGTTTTGAAAATTGAATAAAATCACTTAATTGGATATTAGAGTGATTACTGCTACTTCGAAGATCATCTAATTAATGAGGATTGATCATTGTATTTCAGACATGAGACTTTAATGTATGGGAGATTTTTAACAAAACCATCAGAAGAAGAAGAAAAGGCTGTGAAGCTTGCAAGGCTTAACAAAATGAAGAAAATATATCTACCTCCCAGAATATCTCCTAGTAAGTATATCATATGAAACATTTATTAGAACATTATACATGTATACGTAATTACATATGAGCCATTCTGATTTCTTTTTTGTTCTTGTGGTTTAAAATGATTTGTCTGCATCAGAAAGATTGTATCATAACTTATTGTCTTGTGTGTCTGTACGTCAGAAATTGTGTCTGAATTATTTCCTTGTAGTTCATCATCAAACTTGGTACAAAATGTTCAGCATCATATAGACAAAGTTTTGCTTGTAAAATCCAGCCCAGTAATGCCTCAATATTCATGCTTATTTTCATGAAAATTTTGAAAATGTATTTAAAAGTAAAATATGTGAAGTGAACAAAGATAGTAATTGACACATTGCAATCGCCACTAATAATCCACGTAAATTGCCAAAAAGAGGTCAAAATATGCAAATATAGCCCCTACTGTGTTAGTAACGTGTACACAGTAGAAATATGGTGATAATTACTGCAAAAATCAGTCACTAATTGCACATAAGATATAAATTTTCACTTAAATCTTTAATCTGTTTACCTTTCTTAAAATCTTTTTTACATTTTTCACAACTTTTATTGTCTTGAAATATTTTGGCTCATCTGCATGCATGCAGCTTTAAAGTTTAAAGGTCACATATAGAGGTCAAAAATGAAATCTATTTTTTGTAGTTGATAAAAAGTTCTGGATAAAATATTTGTATTATATGGCAATCATTCACCTTTTGTACTTAACAACTTCCTGTTGAAAAATGTATCCCCCTTCCTCCTTCGGTGTTTATTAGAGAATATATGAGCCGTGTCACGACAAAACCAACATAATGGCTTTGCGACCAGCATGGATCCAGACCAGCCTGCGCATCCGCGCAGTCTGATCAGGATCCATGCTGTTCGCTATCAGTTTCTCTACTTGTAATAGAGTTTGTAAGCGAACAGCATGGATCCTGATCAGACTGCGCGGATGCGCAGGCTGGTCTGAATCCATGCTGGTCGCAAACCCATTATGTTGGTTTTGTCGTGACACGGCTCATATGGTATATAAGCCGCGTCATGACAAAACCACCATAATACGTTTGCGATCAGCATGGATCCAGACCAGCCTGCGCATCCGCGCAGTCTGATCAGGATCCATGCTGTTCACTATCAGTTTCTGTACTTGTAATAGGGTTGGTAAGAGAACAGCATGGATCCTGATCAGACTGTGCGGATGCGCAGGCTGGTCTGGATCCATGCTGGTCGCAAATGTATTATGTTGGTTTTGTCGTGACACGGCTCATTTAATTTCTTGCATTAATTTCTTGCAGCAAGTTTACATACAATAGAGACAATGCCACCACCTCCGTCAGGGAAAGGTAAAGAAGAGCCCTGGGAGAAAGAAGTGGATGATTTGGTTGCATGGACAAATAAGCTGGATGCCACTGCTCTTGA